AAACGGGCGGAAGAAAACTTTTTAACTCTCGAAGTTCGAACACAGACACTCAATCCAATTGTAGCCAATCACTTGTTTGTTGGAGCTTAACTAATAGTAATAGTTACTAGTAATTAAAAAGCAAAAAGATAATAGTGTTTGTGTGTACATTGTATTAATATCGAAAAGAGAAGTTCATTGCATTAAAAGATAGAATCTGTTTGGTAATCCAGTGATTTTATACATACGTTTCTAAACGTCATTAATACGGGGGTGGGCGGTTATTCAAAGAAGACAGAAAACTCGTCTTCCTATGGCGATAGACGTGGAAGTGAAAAGAGACTAAATTCAATATTAACCATTAGCCGATGCGGAGTTTTCTAATTAGACTAACCAAATAGACGAAATAAAGCATTAAGGAGTTGTGCAAATACGGAGCAGGAAGGGGAATGCGCCGAAGAACGAGAGTACTGGATGTGACAGTGACCCACGCGTGTGCATTATAAATAAAGGGTTAACATTAATTGGTACTGTACGATAAAACGGATTAGGTGAATGCCCAATAAAAATAACAGTAAAGACACGTAGGAATTGGGCTTATTACAATTTAAGGAAAACTTTATATTTACGAAAGGAGATAAAAATAAAATTTTATATTTCACGAACGTTTCAAATTAAGTTACTTTGATGTGTATAGGACACGATTAAGAATACTTTATCTCTAACATCACAGTGGTGAAAAAAAATTAAATTGCGATTAAATAATGTTACAAAGAAATATATTTGTGATTTAATTGTTTTTAAAAGTTTTGTATTAGGATTTCCGGCAATTTGAATACGTTTCAGCGCACATGGTCACTGAACAGAATGAGTTGAGAGTATATTTGACCAAGCCAGCTTTTCAACTTCTTATGGCCTATGGTGCTTCCAGATTCTCTTTAAAGCATGCGCCCGTATGCAACTTTCTCGAGTAAATAATATGACAAGATACGGGGAATGGAAAACGATGCCATTGCACGGTTGCTGTTTGGAGTAGAACTATCTCGAGTCGTATTGTTCCGAGGGCTTACTGCAATATCCTTCATCAGTATATTTAGGGGTACAATCTCCGTTATGAATAATGGTTCAAAAAGAATTACTTATTAATGTACCTATATCTATACTCTTTACAAATAAATTACAGTGGTGTGTTTGTTTGTAATATTAAAATAACCGCTTTTTACTAAACGCATACACGGTACATATAGCAAAATATTTTTTTTTACAGTTTTTGTCTGTCTGTCTGTCTGTTTGTTCTGGCTAATCTCTGAAACGGTTGGACCGATTTTGACGGGACTTTCACTGGCAGATACCTGATGTAATGAGGAGTAACTTAGGCTACTTTTATTTTACAATTCTTTTTGATTCCACGCGGACGAAGTCGCGCGCGCAGCTAGTATTATATATTTAATTATTTTAAACTATAATTTTGTTACTGTTTTCTTTATTTCATAAAACAATTAATATAAAACAAATATGACGTTCTTTGGTTTATGTTAAATTTTCAGCATTTATAAAAAAAACCTCTTAAAAATTAATTTATTTATGCGCACTGACACGGGCTAGTAGTTTCCTCTTAAAACGAATAATTGAAGCTTGGATTTGAACGATAAATATGTTTTTGTTTCCATAAAGTGGGGCAATAAAAATGTATTAGAATGCAAATCATAACGTATGATTCGTGGCGCACCGTTGCGGCAAAACATTTTTGAAATCATTTGCCATGTAATTAAAAAAAAAAACTCTAACAGCGAAATCGTCTTTGAATGGAGATTTAATTATTTTATTGTAATATAAAATCATCATGTTCCACAATTTTTTCTCGGTTGCCATATCGGCAAAGTATTTATAGTCAAGCAAATAGCAAATATTTATAGTAGAAAGTATTATCATAATTTATTATCATATTTATATATATAGTCATATTTATAATTATTGCATATACGTGTATTATAATTGATTAATGTACACAATTAACTACCATCTGTAACCAATTGCCAGTCACAGGTCTGCTAGAAGAAATTTCTTATGAAATAAGCAGGGCCTTTGTACAAATTCTTTCATCTAATTACATCTCTGCCATAACTCTGTGTACATAAATTATAAAATAAATAAATAACTAAAAGTATATCTATAGTGACACATTTTAAAAATGAATTGAATTGAATGACCATTTATATTCAAAAATAGAACGTTCCGTTTAAATTCAAATTGAAACTGGAAACCGTAGTGCGCTCTCAGTCCCCAGTCAATCGTCATGCCGATCATGATTCCGCCGATACGACGTGCAGTGTGTACGTGTAAGACGGGTCGTTAGCATGCAATTAGAGGATCATTACCGAGTGACAATAATTGACTCTGTTCAACCGTCCATGCGAACACAATGGAAGCCACGCGGGTCTCGGAGGGGGTCGAGGCCGGGAAGTTCAGGTGCGTCGATAGAACCGTACAGATAATTTCAGTCATCTCAGTGACATGAGCGAAGCGAAGAGTGAATATCAATCTGATATTTACTGTCGTTTTAAGTCAATCATTTTGAATTGGACATAATTAATGACAAATGTAAAAGAATATTGTGATGCTGCACTTTTGATCCACAAATTTACTGGATTTGCATTAGCGTTAAGTTCAACATGTTAAGTTCAACATGTTTAACATTTCGGAGTGTTGTTGTCTGATCACTGGGGCACGAGGTATGAGGGCTTGCGCTAGTCTAGGGTTTTACAAAATAGCTACACGTATGTGGTAAGTAACAAGCCGGCACGAGCCAGTTTTTTGCGGCACTTAATAAGCGCTCGTTAGCGGACAGGAGCGCAGCGGTCGGGTGGGGCAGTACCCTAGAAAACAGCCACCATTCCGAGATGTTGACACTCGCATAGCTCACCGGGCCGCCTGTCATTTTTTCCACCAAGATTCCGGCGCGCGGCCGACGCGCAATTATAAGCGAAATTGACATTAATTGCGCGACTACCGCCGCCTTTTCTAGGAATGGGCCCCCCTTATAATGAGCCACAGAGTAATGACCGTGTCATTACTAGTAGTAAATCGCGTTGCAGATTGTTTCCCGAACGCTGACGAGGATCATCAAGTCGGCAAGGTCATGCCCTGGGCGATCTTCTGGTCTAGGCTTAACGCCAACTGTAATGGTCTAGACTTCTTTCGCCCCATTATTATTCAAACTCAGTAAAAAAAAAAACATATCTGATGTATTCCTTGATGCATGGACAAGGAAACTGGATGGTGTACAGCTGTAAGGATTTGGCCCTCTTGATGAATGGTTCAAGTACTCGTGCATAAGTGGGCACTTAATTTTGTCAAGGCTAAAATTATTTCTCAGTTGAGATGGAATCAACACAGTATTTGATAATCAACAACTTGAAGTAGCGGTGGAAAGATAGAACTTTTAAAAACTGAAATAATCAGGAACCAAACATTCAATAATTCAGGTTTATAAATATCTTGTTTGTCCTAGTGCAATTTTAATTCCCCGAGATATTTTCTAATACAAATATGGTTTCAAAGGGCGAATTTAAACCGTACTGCGAGACTGAAAATGAAAAAATTCTAAAACAAAGACAAAATATTCATGGCTCCAACGAACAAAATTCTACATCAAAGACAAAGACATGGCACCATCCTCTTAGTGATGCAATTTTTCTCATTGCTCGATCGCCTGTAAATCAAGTATAATCAGCGCTTGTATCTCGCCGTATCTTTTATCACGGACCTTGTCCTTTATTCGGCGCTATTTATGTTCACGATTGCTTATCTCTCTATACGCTACATGTAACGTCAACATCCATATTTTTTATAACAGGTGGCCAAAGGGCAGGTGGGTAATCTGATGATATTTAACTAACCCCACGGTTATAGTAGGGCAACTATTTCTGGTGTTACAATAGTCAGGCTCGTCCGGGGAAGTACCACGGTCTGACAGAAGACCAGCGTGAAGTGGAAGAATTATACTTTCGCATTTAATCTGGTGAGTGAGGTAACCGGTGCGCACGTTTTTTAAAGGTTGCCGACACATCAGCAAGCCCTCAGGTGTTGCAGATGTCCATGGGCGGCGATATGCACTTAACATCAGGTGAACCACCTGCTCGCTTGACAAGTTTTCTTCACATAAAAAAAACATGGACCTTTGCAAAACCAAGACTGGAACATTTAAAAGCATTCGGTTACCTCTTTTAGCAAACGAAATTCAAGACTAACTAAGATTATAACTAAGATTAGAAACGAAATTCAAGACTAACTAAGTACTAACTAAGATTACTTTTCAAAGCGTGGATACACTGGTACACGCTCTCTCGGTAAAAGCTCTTTCCATCAAAGTCCATACTCCGAAGTGATTATCTTTATACGTGTGCGATGTTATCAATCGACACAAAAGGACGTTCATTTTGTAACGATTTCAAGCCGAATCCTTTACAGATAATGAATCGTAAGTTTCGCGGAGTGGAGATGTGCATTAAAAAATCAATACTAACAGAGCACTCTACAATTAAGACGCATCCCTCAAACGTCACGGCACCAAAACTCGCCGGAGTAAAGCCCTATGGTGTCCTATTGCGGTGTGTTAAGGTCGCATTTCGCCGAGCGGGCGTTTATTGAACGGCAAACGCCGCAAGGGGTCGCGGATGTGACACGACACACGCGAAACAATGCGCAGACTTTATTAACGCGAGCTGAGAACACAAAATCGAACGCGCGACACAGCGGTGCGCGTAAAGAATTATCCCGCCGGCAAAAATGTCCGCCCTAGCTGGGGAACTGTGGGCAATTTGGGAAATATGCAAAAGTTGGGGTGGCGTGGGGGCTGGGGGGGCGCCGGGGGGTTGCGTCGCCGTGATTAGGCCGTGTGTGACGATGCGCATCTTACGCCCGCATTACCCTTTCGTTTTCCTTCCGATAGCTGCCTTTGTGGGGCGGACCCTTTACTTATCTGTGCAAAAAGTGGATCATACGATACCAATTTTCTTCTAGCCTTTTTCCTCCGGCCGCTCATCGAGCCCACTGTATCGGCGCTTTGAGTATAGACGACTGACTTTGCTGTTTGGGACGAGCGCTGTTGTCTCTTTTCCTTTTCGCCCGACGTTTTTTCCATTAGCTGGTAATAGGAGGATGGAGCGGGGCGGCGGGCCTTTGAGTGTTGCCATCGGGATTCGTGTCTTGGGCGTTTCCATTTTCAAAACGACGCGGCAAGTTTATACGTAATTTTCCGATAATCAGCTTAGCTCCGGAACTTACCTCAGTTGCCCGTGGGGTCAGGGAAAAAATGCCTATTGTATTTAATTTAAAAAGTGCTTATTGTCCAAAATATTGTGCTTCATAAGAGTTTTTCTACAAATTTTAATAGTGCTTCTCACACCTAATCTTCTTTGACGCAACTCAATGTCCTTAAAAACAATCCGTATTACCACTCTGGGTATTAACTCCAACGAAATCAAACAACGGAAACGAACGGGACAGTCGAGGAGTCTTCGCGAAGTTTTCCCCATCGATTCACCGATTCAATCGCCTTAATGTAATCCCCATTAGCAGAATAAACTACATCCGTTCGGCGTTCGCGCTAACACACTTTCCAAGTTTCCCAACGAAACTACCCCCGCTTTGACTACCAAATATCCATGCCGAGGACGAACTAATAAACGTGAATGTTTAATATTCCACCAAATCTTCGACGCCACCCCGTTCGGAGAAATTTCAATACGGGCTTAAGTAATATCGGATTCTGGGAGCGCTCAGCGGAGGAAGGTCTCAAGAGGCGCGTGACATCCATTGCCGGGAGCTTCCACCAGCCCAACCCGAAACGCCTAACGAAGTCGCAATGGACGGCACGGTGAGTGATTTCCCTTGGAGCCGATGTTGCGCACAAATACCATTATTCCGAAACGATACACATTTACGGCCCCGTCGTGTTGTTTTGAGGGAACGCCGCGTCTTATGAATATTCGAATGCTACACACCTTATTGATTCTTTCACGCGTCTCCTGCTTTCCCTCACATCGTGGGCCAATAAAAGAACAATTCCAACCGCAATGGCCCAAAGCACTCAAGCCATTCAATACACGTAGAAATTGAAAAAGCAATACATATTAAAGTTGGGATTTGGACATCAGAGTCAAAAGATAATGACAAAAATTACACTCACAGAATGTGACTCGTTTAAAAGCTTAGTCGTATATTAAAACCTCACATCATCGAAGTTTAACAAGCAAAACAGTTTTTCTTCCCAAAGGGGGACAGAGGCATTCCTCAATACGTACTTACCCCGCCCTCCCCCTACTCACACACTGCCGCCTAATGAAATCAGACATCCCGGCGCAATTGTAGATTCAATTAGTACACAGCAGTTGCCATTCTTATCGGCGGAGACGATTTTACGAACGAATTAATCCGAAAACATACGATTCCTATCTACCCCAGCCTCCCCCGAGGAGTGCGCTATAGATATCGGTGTCGCGGCACCATTGTATTTGCCGTGTGTAATTAAGTACACGCGGATCGAGTCTTACGGAGCGGGATCTTACAGATCGCGACTTATTGACGAAGAGAACTAGATAGAACTTGGTAAATTTTTTGGTACGTCAATGATGATGTTTTGGGAATTATGCGTTGAGGCGATATCTATCGTCACTTTAGATTTCGGATTCATCGCTCCTTATATTTCTTGTAATTTTGGGATAATGCTATGATGTTAATATTTCTTTTTATTATATTATTTATATTTATTATTAATTTCTGAAAATATGCCAGTAAATACCATGTTCAATCAATAAATATGTATCGGCAAGACGATTACTTTGAGACGATTTAGAATATAATATTACCTGCGATAGTTGCAGAACTACTGGGCAAGCTAGTAAGATGGTAAAAGTTAACACATTATATATTTGCAGATTTATTTTAAATCCGAATCACTAAATAATTCATTATCTAAATATTTAACCTTTTTCCCAGATTCGACTTTTGTCAAACACTTTGACTTGACACCGTGCACATCTTCTTCGTCTTATCAATCGTTTGTTCATTAGACTATGGGGTCTACTAACTAGGAGATTAGGCTTGAAGTCTCAATTGCGAGCACTAAACATTCAATTTTGGATTTCTTACGTGCAAATCATTATAGCACATGGCATAGGCAACCTGCCACTTTTATGATTAAATAAGCAAACTGGGACTCTTTTCACTGTTTAAGTATTCACCGCATTAGAATGTATCAATCATATATATTGGAATAAATAACGCCAACCGCATCGAATCAAGTGGCGTTTCAATCTGAATAGACGTGTCAATCCAATAAATCAAGTTGCCGATCAAAACATTGAGCCATAAGCTATCAGCGATTATCGGAGGGGACAAAAAAGCGGGGCCTCGACTATCGTCTGCGATCAATTGATCACGCCTAGCCATTGTGGATTATTGATAGGCCGTTAATAACGCTCCGCGAGCCGTGGGGTGGTGGTTTTTTCAATACGCCGATCGCTCGCGCCGGCCACAATTGGATTGTGTAATTCCTCCACGCACAATGAGTTTATTTTAACGTTGTAACGCTCCTCGTCATCGGTGATTTCTTTTTTCCCCGCCACATGTTTGCCCGTCGAATGTTTGATTCGATTCGACGCGCGGGGTGGTCGTTATTGCGATTGTTTTGTTCGTCAAACACCGATACAAACGTACGGCGGCTAATAACAAATTCAATATTAAACGCAAAGGTGGGTAAACAGAAGTTTAATTACTAACAAATGAATGCTTTATACGTCAGCCAACAACGGATCCTCACGTTCGTCTTTCACTTCAATATGCGAATTGACACCGCAATATTCCAAACAGAAATAAGATTGCCCGGGAGCCCCCCTCGGGCTGTGGGGGCACTTTATTATATCCAGAACGTCTTCACGATTGAAACCAATTGTTAATTGAGCCATATCTGTGAAAATTGCGTCTGTGCGAGTCGATTCTTATCGGGTATTCGTCGTTGGATTTATTGTAGCGGGGCCGCTTTCCGTCTTGCTTCAGACGGAATTCGGAGGGAGTTGGCGCGCATTTCGAAATCCGAAGCGTTCGGCGAAAATTATTTTTCCAATTAATCCGCCGAAATGGCCAGTGCTGGCACTCGGTGATTTTTAACAATTCCATCGGAATTGATAAACGCAAGTAAACACAAACGAGCTTTATTCGACAAAGGAATATTATTCTAAATTGTTAATAGTTTCAAACTGGATCGCATTCGTCGTTACTTCGAATGAAGGACCGAAATAGCAAAGCGCCCGACAATAGTTAGACAAATGAATAAATCCAAATGGAAATTTCCTATTCGTGAACAATAGTTAGATTTTAGAAGCTTGTATCTCATACAGACAGATTGATTGGGCCCTTCCCAGCGTTGTGTTGTGTGGATAAGGCTAAGCAAGACAAATGACAATATATTAAACTATAATGATACTTTCGGTGAACTATAAATTCTAGACAATTACAATTTTATTTAACAAATTAACAAATTGTTAAATAAAAATTATGAGTATTAAACTAACTTATCCATTCTAAAATTAAATATTCTATTTAACTTTAGAATGGATAAGTTGGGAATGCTGAAGACGTGGTTTCGATTCCCACTGCGGCGACAAACTTTTCGTACTTTTCTACAAATTTTAATGGCTAATCCATTGAATTTTTTGAAAAATTAATTAGTCGTTTTATTTAGTTTTAGTGGCAGCTTTTTCTATTTTAATTCTGACAATCGTAAGCTACCCGTCCGGGCTGACTGTGGAAAAAGAAAAGTGGTATGAAAAAATAAAAATCAGACGATTAAAAAAAGTTATCGGTAACTTGGCAACTCACGCAACTTGTAGTTTGAATCGGAATCTCAGGTTGCGGGGTGAATTGTGGCGGTGCGTCCTCATAAATTGCGATTCGCTCTCCATGTTTTGTTACCTGGCCCGTTTGTTACGATTTTATTATGAAAATGAATGGCAGGCGAGCGCGGGGGGCGGCGTGGTGGGGGCGAGTGGTGGCCGGAGGGGGGTTTGAGACGATCAAAAGGGTTCCTAATTCGTACGTTCGTCGCTGCACACTATGGCAACTAGAGAGTTTTATGGAGCGAATCTTTTATGGGATAATCAAATTTTGTAATATTAATGCCGCCGGATCGCGTCGGCGAATTGATTTTGTAGCGTTCGGATTTAGTGCCGCGGTCGCCGCACGCCTTGTCTAGCCCGTGGGGGGTAGCAGTTAGTGCGAATTAATTGATTATACGGAATACGGGGGATATTTCGGTTCGTACGTCGCTTTTGGCGAAATTGGACTCTTTCGGAATAGATACGTTGTATTTTAACAATATATGTTAGTTGCTCCAACCGCTAAGACAAATTTGAGTTAATTGATTCGTCCGGGAAACTCCGAAAGTTCTTTCTCTGCCTTACAATGTTAAGTATTTTATCGATAATGGGAAATTGAAGAGGCTATCATATGATTGTATCATCAGAATTACATTACAGATTTTAACTATTGAATACTGAGAGACTTTAAATGAAACACCACACCAGAATAATACTTGGAGAAGAACAAGGTGTTTTTCGCTGGCAATGTGTCCTCGTAAACTTATGACAGTATGAATGTATGTTCTTCTAGTTCTGATGAAAATCCGGAGAAGATCACCATTGGACCGAGTTCGAACTCCATGTGCCATGACCAGGAATCGACGAGCGTTTAGCATTAAATGAGAAAGAAAATAAAAGTTCCATTTCAAGTGACGCGCTCGTCGAATACTAGCTAACGTGGTGGCTTTGCGCTTCTCTCACTTCAAACATTTTCGACCTCCAGTCTTCGTGGTGCGGTTAGAATGTTCGAATGGATGTTTTTGTACACGCCGCCGTGGCGAGGCTTTTGTCGCGGAGCTGGGCTCATTATTTAGTTCGTCATTTCGGGCCGAATTAATTGGTATCTTTCATTGTTAGGGGCACACGTGTAATTAGGGGGCACCGAGTGCGGCGTGGCGCGTTCGCTCGAAGGATATTGTTCCCTCGCCGAATTTGTAATTAAAAATTTCGGCTGCTGTCTGTTGCGGAGCGGCGCGCTCGTTTACGGTTTCTTTGCCGGCGCGCGGTCTCTTGTACTCTAATAACCCATTGCCGTTGTAACTATCGAGTGTCGTAATTTTTTCACTGTTTAACTTCGTACGAGCACGGTCGTAGCGGTAACTAACATTTGTGAAGATTATCGATACGCTTTGAAGTTTTATTTTATTGAGAGTTCAATGTTAGTTATGGAAAGTATTTTTGAGGTTTCGTTGACACTAAAACATTTTATTATATGCACGTTTAAGTTCATAGACTAATCCTTAAAACATTGTTATTCGTTAATTGACCTCCTGTAAATTAGCTATTCGACCATAAAAAATTGTTTTCATTATCAAACTGTGATCACCTAGTACGGATTTGAGCAATGTTCCGTTCATGAAAGGTTTCACCTAAGCCCTGAAACATCTTAGTCAAGAACTAAACTGGTTTGCTACGCCATATCGTAGATGAGGCTATTATACCATAGACAAGTAGAGGGCCTAGCACCGACGAAGCCCCCGGCTTCGCTTGCGAACGCCAAAGCGAGACGCGTCGACGGAGACCTGTGAATATATGCAAATTGTTCCTCGGAGATGCCGGACGGACGGACCGGGTGAAATTTGAATATAAACTTTCCAGCGGCACCGTATAAGCGCCATTTATTTCGGCCGCCCCGTAAAATATAATGATTTTTGCCGTCGCACGGTCGCTCTCGGCCGTATTAATTTGCGGGCGTCGAATTGTATGGGGTGCGTTGATGTTTCGAGATGTACTCGTCTTATACTCATATATAAGGCGAACACTTGTATATATGTTGATATTTTCTATTATAAAACTAGTGCGCTTTAGGTCTACGATTGAGTTTGAACACATTGTTCAATATTTAAATCCTATAAATGCGAACCAAGAGTTGTTATTGCGGCTGCTGACAATAATGAGTCCTTTATCTCAGGCACGTGCTTTCCATACAAGCTTTCATAAAAACAAGTAAGTTTGTTTTGTAAGTGTTGTGTTTACCTGTAATTTAAATATGTACATATATTTTTACAACTTTAGTATTAAGTTAAACATATTTACATTTCAATGTTCTGTATGTATTTAGTTGGTAAGCCTTAATAAATAAATAAATAAACATACTCCGTCATCCCATACAAACATGTTTCAAAAACACCTAAACCTACGAGTTATATTAAAGTAATGATTTACAAATATCAATTGTTAATTATAATTTTACTTTGACTTTTTGGGTTTTATTGGGTTCCAAGGGTTCTTTGATTATCATTATCATCAATAACTGATTGTTTTCAGCGCAAACCATGTCTGAAATCTGCACGTCTCTGCTTTCTCTAAGTGATGAGCTAGACTGTCAGATAATTTGGTGTTTAGTAAACGTTTGAAAATATTCAATGTGAAAACTCATTTAGACTCTGAATGTGTAACAACAAATCGTCCAATATGTATGTGATGTACGGCATCACACTCATTTGGGCGATGTAAGCGGGAGCGCACCGCGAGCGGACGCCAGAGATCGCCGTCGTATTTACATAAAAAACGTATAACGCAAAACTGAGACGGGATGCGCGCATAAAATTAAAATCGATGAGAAATTCTACCCTTCGAATTAAATATCATTGCCCCGCCGCACACAGGCGCGGCGGGCACGGGCACACATTCGAGATATCTAGATTAGCGCCGAGGGGTCCGCGCGGGGCGGTTTACGACGAGGCCGACGGAATATATCTGCAGACGCCGCGGACCGTCCACGTGTTTACGTCGTCGCCGGTTTTTTTTTTCTAATTTCGCCTCCGAGTGTCGCTGGCCGAAAAAAAAAAAAATAAAAAAATAACCTTTCAAACTTTTTTTAATCTGTTGATATTTTTTAATCAACAGGCGATGTCTTAGCGTTGTGTTTTTAGTTTTTGTTCGAAATTATATCGGTACTGGGCGAAAATGCAATGGTATAAAGAAAAACAAACAATTTAATTCCTTTTTTCAATCCGCATCTAGTCCAAAACGAACTCCTTCCGAGCCATAAGGGATGGATATAAAAAACGCGCGATCCCAATGGGGTGTGCTTAAAATATCGGTACGGGCTTATTTGCATACTAACTAAAATAATTTATTATTTTTTCACGGAGGGTCGACTATGTGGGGTGAGATCAAATACAATGGAAATAACTAGAGACTGAGTGTTATTGGGCCGATCGTGGCGTTGTTACATTTTTATGTCGGCCGGGGAACATTTTAACGGTGTTGCAATTTTAATAAAAATAAACATTGGAAATTTTCAACGACCTTTCGGTATACGAATCGAAAAATGTCTCACAACCGTTACTTTACCGAATAAAACTTTGTGTAGTTTTGTTTCGTGAAATCGCGTAAATAAAAAAAAAACAAAAATCGTCGATGAATAACAAAGGAAGAGCCCTGCTAAACACACTCGACTAGTTGATAGTCGGTGAGTCGACAAATAAAATACACGCAAATGCAATATCGCACGTCGAAACTGCGCTCTCGAAAGTTTCGAATCAAAGCGGTTCGGCGAGTACGGTCGGCGGAACAGCGCATCCTTACAAAACACTGATTGCGTCGTACAAAAGCAGCGGCAACTTTGCGGGCCGCGGCGGAAAAACTTCGACGGCCGCGCGTCGCGTTGTCATACGCCGTGTTTAGTCTGTGGTTCATTGATTTTTTTTTAATTTATACAGAGCTCTTGTCTAATGGCCAGTTAATTCGATAGAGTATGCAAGCATTCCAATCAAGACAATTATCTTGATCGAAACAGGTGTAAAATAGCAGTGTGGAGTCCATTTATATGGCTGACTAGCTGAGCCCGCGACTTCGTCCGCGTGGAATTATATTTTTATGTTAATAACAATAAATGAAATTTCTAAGCTGAAAGTAGCCTAATTTACTCCTTATTACATCAGCTATCTGCCAGTGAAAGTCCCGTCAAAATCGGTCCAGCCGTTTCAGAGATCAGACGGAACAAACAGACAAACAAACAGACAAACAGACAGACATAAATTGTAAAAAAATTTATTTTGGTACACGTACCGTGTATACATATCCATCACATCCATATCCATTTAGTAGACAGCGGTTATTTGAATCTTACAAACAGACACTCCAATTTTATTTATCTGTATAGATGAGGTATTTACTGTCTCCGCAGTTATCAAATTCAGACTGGACGAAGCCATCGGGGTAGGAGGAACTTTTCCGTTGAAGCGCTCGGCTTCGGGCGTCGGTCGGTCCGCGAACGAAATTATCATTCGTATCAAAGGGAATATTTTAAACGTCTATACATAAACATGGCGGACGCAGTTAGGTCCAGACTAACCCACACAGGCGCGCGCAAGATTTACACGTGCGACGCCGAAATGTTGCACGTTATATTATGCGGTTTTCTTTTTTCGTCTCGAGCGCCCTTTTGTTTCGGCCATTATATTTGCGATATTGATGAGCGACGTCGTGCTTTTAATTACAGCTGACAACGATGCAGAAAATTGATGTTCCCCGCTTAAAGGGTTCGGACCTTAGGCTGCGCTCGGTCGGCCAAAGGATAATCGAGAGAGGTGTGTTAATTAATTTTTAGGAGCTACTTTCCTCCGAAGGGGACACCGGTTCCTGCATTACCAGTGCGGCGTCAGACGGAGTTGGATTTTTGTATAGACTCCGTACGCTATTATTTAATAGATTTCTTTGAATAACAAAGCCATAAAAACTGTGATTACGCTTGAATGGAACTCTGTCGATTCAGAGATTGTCGTTTCCAATCTTTTATGTTCCGGCGCCGTTTTGCATTTGAATGTGCTTCCTTTGTCGAGGGAACTATTAGTTCAGGAATAGTTTTCGAAAGAAACTGTTTTAATTCGTGCGTTTTGTTTTTGACTGCTGCGTTGGCTGGACCCGTTTTTACGTTAACCGAAAAGTGTTGTCTATCCTTAAAAGGTTTCGCGAGTTGAGGTCGTAATTGCGGACCGTGAAGGTCAGTTAAAGCCTAGGCATTGGTTCACTAAACCAGCTGTAACCTTATTCGGCTTATGGACCACAAGTCGTAATTAAATGACCCACATACTAGATTGCTAAACGTCCAAGTAATGTCTCGCTAAGCAAGTAACATGCTCTGTAAATTACACATAATAGATCGTATATTTTAAAGTTTCGGACGAGATCGTTTATTTTGCAGCGGCGGATTTTTTTCTCGAAGTTGGTCATTAAAAATTATAATAATTAGGCATGTTCCTTAAGCTTGGTATTATTAATACTTATGTTATAATATGTCAATATGGGTATAAAGTACAACTTATTTAAATGAAAAGTACTTTATCAAAGGACTGAAACTATGTTGCCCAAAATCTCTGTCAAAATTAAAATGGAACAATGTTTTTTTTATTGTTGTTAAAGAATGAATGGCACCGGTTATATACAACGCTTAACAGTTAAGCGAAATTTCTTGGGTTTGTTTAGGTAAATGTTTGTGAAAGACAGTTAACAGTACGCACCAATTCGTCATTACGAACCGTTACGAAGAGTCCTTCAATTTTTGCGTATACAGATAATTAAAAAAAACACAACAACAAATCATATCTAAAGAATAGTGACAGACATAAATTAAATACTAGAAATAAGGACAAACTAACTACGCCATTGTTTCGTTTACAAAAAGTAAACAGGTCGTTCATGGGGCAAGGTGTGCGCATGTATAATAAAATCCCACAGTCGATATTAAGTCTGCCACTTGATGAATTTAAAACGAAAAATTAAAAGTAAACTTATGGCTAAAGCCTATTATTCTATTGCCGAATATCTTGACGACGCCAATGTGTGGGGTTACTACTGTTGATACTCACGTAGGCTAAAACAAGACTATTGTACATGTACTATTATATTGTAAACTGATTTTTTTAAAAAGAGCAACTGTTGAGTTTCTTGCCGGTTTCTTCTCAACAGAAACTGCTTTCCGAACCGGTGGTAACTTACGAACGTGTTAATTTCTTGTAAAATTTTGACGTTTCATAAGAACGCGCAAGCGTCTATGTGAATAAAGATATTTTTATTTTTTATTTTTTTTTATAATATGAATTTTAAGTTAGTTTTTGATCATTTATGAATGCTCTAAAATGCTATGGTATAGATATGTGCTACTTTTATCTTGAGATAGACTAAATAAGACTAATTTAAATATTAAAATGGCATATGATAATGTCGATATGAGAAACCTTAAAACTCGACACGTCACACCGACCGACGTGGAGCGTTACGAAACAAAACGCAAAGGGGGAGACGCCGCGGGCGAAAGATATCGGACGGGAAGGGGTTGATTTTGATTGAATATCTGTTATTAAGACCCCTCCCCGCGCACACAGACAAATATTAAATAATATACACATTTAGTTTATAAATATGCATGAGTTTCGTTAGAATTTGTGTGCAGCTCCATTTGGAGTGGCCCTGTGGGTGATGCGCGCCCTGTAATGAATTATATACAGGATGTTATATTTGTTTTTTAACAAAAACGTTACACTTCGTTAGCAATTCGATATATGGAATCGGTAAAATTTCCGAACACTCATATTGTGTGCTTATAAAAGCTATGTACGCGGTGATATTATATGCAAATACGAGGTAGATATGACACTATCGCTCCGAAACTGACTCGACTGCATTCAAATTAAGGGGATCTTTGTAATTATTTACTCTGCCATCCCTTTCCGTAGCATACGTTCTATATCATCTGTCGCATTCACTTGAATCTGTACTAATAAATGCACCACCGGTTTTTTTGTTCGGTTATACTGCGATACCAATCGGAATAATACTTATACGATATGACACAAAGTGTTACGGAGAAGGTTTTGGTATATAAATTATATTAAAAAAATTGCCGACTTATCACAATTTTCGCGGACGACATCAAGGGAACAACTACTTGTATGGCATAATGATGAAAAGCGGAACAATTTTCAGAATCCGCTCAGTATGGACATGTATCACGTTTATTAAAACGTCATTGTTTGTCCAAATGTTGCAGGCTACATTTGGACGTGGTCTCGATGAGATATCGCTCCGAATCGAGCGTAACGAAGACGCTTCGCACTCGAACAAGTCCCGCTCATCTCCCGGCGGATGATCTGACGCGGAGTAATTAATTGCGTTTCTCCGCGAGGATGTGAGGTTTCCTTTCATAAAACTCGCGTCTTATTGTCCTCCTCGCGACCCGTTTGTTTTTTGTTCCGTCTGCCGAATTAATTTTCCCGCTAAGCGCAGCCATCACACGCAGGGGCGCCTTCCGGGTGCGGACCGAGTTTCGATTATTGTGAACTCGCCGTGTATAGATCGGTACGAATTGAAATACAATGAATTATACAGATATTTATTATGATCGAAGCCAAAAGAAAAAGGAAGTCTGTCTATGGACCAAATATTGGCTATGCGTTAGGTTAACAAAGTTGACATAAATGTAAACAGTCTATGAAATATTATTTAATAGAAATTGAGTCACATATTTGACTAAACATCTTTATGTATATTTAATGATAGAAAGGAAAAAAAAGTAACATAAAATCGAACCTTATCATAATGCCCTTATCCTTATAAGCCCTTAAATAAATGTCATTTAAAAAAAAAAAAAAAAAAAGAATTAATACCTCTCAAAATGTGTACAAAGTTTCATGATAATCGGTTGAGTAGTTTTGGCGTGAAAGCATAACAAACAAACTTACACATTTATAATATTATTATAGTAGGGACTATAAGGATTATTGGAGAGGTTATGTTGGTTTTTTTCTCGGGTGATTTTTCGTCGATTCGCGGTGATTCTTTGTCTTGCGTTATATGCACTTATTATTTGTTCCGGTCTCTTTGCATCGTTCTAAACGTGCAACACTCAACAGTTTCGTGTTTCTTATAAGAAATCGGTTCGCTGAATTATATCGCTTCAAAATTTTTGCTAGACTCTTGTTACGTTAGATGTGAAACGTCACGAAATGAAAAATGTAACTTGCAGACGGTCATCTATTTCGGTTTGATTGACGCCTCTCAGAATCGAATTGGCAAGACCTCGGAGCTAAGGAGGCGCTAGGAGACGCTGTCGGGCGTCATTAATTGATTGTCAAAGTCAAATGTCGTGATGTCACCCGTTGTATAGGGTTGGAGACTAGATAATATAACTGATTTATTGCTCTCAGATGTCATTAGAGAACGGAGTTTCCACACGAAGTTCGTTAAATATATTATGAACGTTATTATGCTTACGTACTTTAAGAATAGTTTATTTTTAAATTATTACCGGCCCAGCCACACATCACGTATGATAATATATTTAGTGTAAAGCATAAGTGCATAGATCAACCCTAGCGAAAGCGTTCAGACGTCTTGACAGATGACATCTCGTGTTATAATAATTTTAGTTGACGCCTTTACCGAGAAGTAGTATTACTAATATATAATTACTATTATATAATACATTTATCTATTAAAGCTACAACAGTCTAAGATTACTAATAGCAGCCCCGCAGTCTCGATATCAATTATTTTAACTGGCAAGTTTTTTCAAATCGTCTCTCTTGTCATATAAATTTGTCGGCGGACGATTTTATATCAACGAAATATGTGTGTTTATGATGTATTGCGATTTCAATTAAAACTTCCCGACGCCCGTGACTAATGAAAGTTTCGTATGTGGGCGCGTTTTGGAGTGGTTCCAGGTTTTTTGTCTAAACGGTGCTTTTTGTGAGCGGAGAAATATTGCGATATGAATATTCGATTCCACGCGTCACACCGCCCTGCGGATGTCGCTACGAGCGGCTGCAATTCATAGGCGCGGGCGGGCGCGTTTCAATACGTAAGAGTTCAGACGAAAAGTCTCCGCTTAAATATGATAAATAGCGATGTTGGTCGAAATGCTAAATGTTAAAAGCTTATAAGGCTAGGCAATAACTTAATTATTAGACACTTCTTTTGTTAGATGGTTATGCTTGTGTAAAAAAAAATATAGGTATCATTGTAGTTCTCTGACCTTTCTTTAGATTCTGAAAAATGTCTACGTATTATATATCCGTAACAGAATTTTGCAAAGAAGGTGTAAGGATTAGTTCAAGCAGACTTCAAGAATTCATCTAAAGTATTGTTGGACGCCGAGCTCCCGTGACTTGAACGTGTCGCAAGGAGGGCCCTTTTTAACAGGGTTGTTCACCTTGCTATTCCGAAAGGGTTAATTCTATACGAAAGGGTTATTACAGAGGCGGACTGGCGTGATTATGACTGTGTATATATTCGATTCGTTTGAGGTATTGCGTGCCCGAAATGCCTTTTGTTTTTTTCCTCCCGTTTTCGGGTTATAGAGGGATGCTTAGCGTTGTCTACGGATCGCTTTGTGGCGATCGCTCTTCGAAATTCGCAGGCGGATTGTTTGTTTTGACGGCGCGCTTATCGACGCGTTCGGTTTCTACACCCAACGGATTAGGTGTTCCTATGTTTTATAGACCCGATTGGCGTAGTGAGTAGTAGTCGGTTCGATCCCCACTACTGGAAAAATATTGTGTGATGAACATAGTGTTTTTCCAGTGGCTGGATGTTTATCTTTATATAAATTACATATATATGTAATTCTTCTGTACGTGTGTATGACACGTGAGCTCCTCCTAAACGGCTGGACGGATTTTAATGAAATTTTTGAGTGCCTTCAACTCGATTCGATAATGGTTTAGGTTCGCAATTTTTTTTAAGTTAACATTTAAGTCTTGTGTACATGACAACGTCTGCCCGGTCCGCTAGTATCTATATTTATTTACAAAAGAAAAGTATGTTTAAGTATGTTTATCAGCCGTTTAGTACCCATAGTACAAGCGTTGCTTAGTTTCCGTAGCTAAATTCAAAAAACTTGTAAAGGAACGTTTGTGTGTTAATGGCTATTATAGTATTAGTAATTATTTGAATGATAACACACTCTGGAAATGAATTGATCGCTCCAGGCTCTTTCAAGTGGAATTCAATAAATTGTACACACATTTTTATTTTTTTGTCAAGTTAAAAAAAAATTAAAAAAATGTTTCGCTGAGTTTCTTACGCCGGTTCTTCTCAGGTGAGTGGCTTTCCTTCCGAACCGGTGGTAGAGTTTATTGACTATCAATAAGTAAGTGTATGCTTCTATATTGAATAAAGATATTTGACTTTGACTTTGACTTTGCGACTAAGAACTTTGGGTTAAAATGTGTCCTAAAGTATTTGTTATCCTTATTTATCTCGCATCTAAATAATATGTTTAGCTATGGCGTGGGAACGTTTATAAATAAAACTTTTTTGTTGGACTAGTAAGTAAACTATTTCAAAATTGCTAATTTAAAAGATATGATCTGCAGTCACACAAAAGTAGACTATATTTCCTAACATGTTGGTCTTTATTATTGTACCGTTCAAATTCATGTTTTGACTTGAAAAAACTTTTGTGCGACATAATTGTAGAAAAATTCATAAGGTCTTCCCTATTGACAAAACGAAATAATGCGTACGTGAAAATTTTAAAAAACAAACCGTACGAAACGGTTAAAGCGGGGTGTCCTCTGTTTACAAGGGGGGTTGGGGGGTGGGGGGCTTTGAAATTTTGACTTTATATATAATTCAACTACAATGTATCTTGCGCGTAAGGGTTTAAACTCTGGGGACCGAATTTCGAGATGAGGGCGATCAAAAATCAGTCTCGATTGAGCCCTATCGGAAGGGCGCGTGTGTGCGTGGGGGGGTGGCACAGGGGTGGAGGGGGGTGTCAACTTTTGAGACACATAAGTGGGACGGCTATCGGCACATATCGTTTGTGTTCGATTGGCCAAGCGCCGTGGGTCCGTGGTAATTTTTACATGCTTCGTGAGCTGTTATTACGTGATGTGATTTTAGACATTTTGTCCAACTCTCTACGAAATTTTAATGTTATTACTTTGTTAACACATATCCTTTTGTAAAAACGTTTTGGATACATAATTTCACGTAAGCAAACAACTCAGTTCTGAAATAAGTATCTATGGGACACTAGTAGTTGTCTCGTGTAGGAATCGAACCTACGAAATCCGGCGCCTTCGGATAATAACGGACGATATTTAGTAGATAAAGCAATGTACGGTTGTTTGGAAATCGTCTGCCTAAGTTATAAAGCTTCGGTCAATAAACGTAATAGTTGATATTTCAACATTCAGTAGAATTCATTCATATTAAAATGGTTTAAGCGTTCTTTTCCTAAATGCTGTTTTTAGCTACGAGAGCGAAATAGACTGAACGTCCCATTGTATATCGGTCGATATTTGCTAAATGCTCTGATCGATTTTAGGAGAAGCGCGGGGCGAAAGAACAACGTTTAGTCGTATGTAATGCGGATCAGTAAATAATAGGGGTGGACATCGATTGATCCCGCTGCGGCCAAGGGTGACACAGAAAGGGGTTGATTTAAAATATTGCAAGAGGGTACGCTGATTATATCTAATGCAAGTAGGCGGCCTGCCCACTCGTCGGCTGATTAGGAGAGGCGGTCGCTCCGTTTGAAAATGGAAGGAAAATTTGTTTTTTTTTTTCTATCTCTTGCCTGTTACATGACGTTTTTGTTTTTACTCTTATGTTAATATAAAGCCTTTGTAGCCGTTGCCGGTTATAGGTCCTTTTTTGTTGGTCTTTTCGCCTCTTTTAAGTCGGCGACAAGTTTCCGAGCGAAGGCCGGTCGCACGGTAAACGATGTTATGGGGTTTTTACCTGCTTATTTATTACGCGAAAAAACTAAAAAAAATGATTAGTGCACTGCGTTATTTAGTACATTTAGCGTATAAACTATTTTGATGTCAAACCCAAGTTTCTTTTTTTTTCAGCGAACTCGTCAACATTTACATCTATAAAAATAGAGCGAGCGTAAATAATTTCGTTATTACTTCTTTTAAAACTTTTTCGATTTAAAGATATTTTGACATTTACCTTTAATTCCAAGTTATTTAATTAAACGCGAAAATAACGAAAAAAGGGTATTACTTACATAAGTACCTACCTACACACATACATTTCTCAATGACTTCGTTAAAAAGCTTTATAATAAATATATAACAAAAAATTTCTGTAATTTCGATATTAAATCCAATTAAATGCTAGATTATTATTTCCCATTTTTGTTTTATAGTAAATATCTATCTCGTACTTGTAATAACTATTATTTATTATTAAGTTATCGTACATATCTCTCTTTATATACATGTTCCAACTACCTACTTATAATTGGAATCTTGTTAATCCCAGTTCCTAAGACTATTGTCATACTTAATAACAAAAGAACATGCATTTCCGTTGGTGGTTCTTCACAATAAACAACCAAATAACCGTTTTTAGGCACCGACGATATCTCACCAAACACGACGGAGAGCGTCAGCAAAGAAAAGAAGTGGTAATGAACAGAATTGGACTTCGAAACTGGGCTTTATTGTTCTGCGACATGCAATGGCTCCGACCGAGCTTTCGGCGGCACTGTGTTCAGGCCATATACACATTGGGCCAATCTATTGGGCCAATGCATTGGACCAATGTGTAGAGGGCTACATTGCGAAACGTTTGGGGCAAATCGTAGTTAGCACGAACGTTGGCCGACGAGACGAATTGTGTCGGTTGTTAACCGACTTCAAAAAAGAAGGAGGTTTCTCAATTCGACCGTATATATTTTTATGTGTGTTCGCGGATAACTTCGTCGTTTGTGAACCGATTTTCTCGATAATTCTTTAATTGTTGGCGAGTAGATATTCCAAGGCTGGTACCGTGATAAGGAAACCCGGATCTGATGATGGCATCCCAGAGAAATCGAGGGCAATCCTCAAATGTTATAGGTATTAACAATGTTTTTAGTTTCCTGTTTTCAAGACGGTTTTTTTTTAGTTTTGAAAATAGTTGTTTGAGCACACGTCAAAGGAGCGCCAATGCATAATGCAGTGCGCAAACTTGTGAACGGCTACACACCGCGAACGCAAACGCTTTGGCCCAATGCATTGGCCCAATACGTTGGCCCAATGCATTGGCCCAATACGTTGGCCCAATGTGTACTGGGACCATTCGGTGTGCTGGCACCGTGGCGGCGGCGGTGCACTGCTGCGACCGTTAACGCCAGTTGGAAAGCGCCGTGTAGCTTTCGGGAAAATTGGCCGAAATCGGGTTTTGGGATTCGCGTGCTCGGCGCCCCTCCGCGCGGTGCCGTCTAGAATTCGGCGCGGCAATTAGCGATGGCTATCTCCGGCTGGTTTTTCGGCGTTGGCCTATGATGGATCGTCTGGGTGCAATTTGAACTGTCTGCGCGCACACCGCTCCTCCGCCGAACGATTTGGCACGTCGATGGTTGCGATAGCAATTGCGAGTTTCCAACTGATACGGTTTAAACGGGCAAGGGGATGTTTGGTGCGGGACGAAAATGTTAAACTTGTTGGGAATAAGTTAGATGTTTCCTAAGGATACTAGAGGAGTGACACAATACATCAAAAGTGAAAACACACATAAAACCTCTAAGTTACACTTAACTTGTGACTAAGTTAAGTATGACTTTGATTGAGAATACGATTTTTTTTAACTTACACAATGCGTATGATAATGAAATGGGCCGTTGTTTCGTATTTCAACGCGTTAGTTATTAATCAATCCTCCGTCATAAAATTACTTATGTATGCGATATAAATATTAATGGCAGCACACACGCGCACGTACAAAGCGCGCGAAACTAACCCTTTCTTCACCCCGCGTTGAATTCGAGCCGAAATTTTACTAATAAATGTATATAATTAATCATTCCAATATGGCTACCGGCGTTCGAAAAGGAAAGTGTAACAAAAAACATCCGCGGCCCTTTAGAAATAATGGGATAACGCGTATAAAAAAATTAAATTTGCAACGTCATAGATTGATTGGTTAATAATTTTTAAAAAAACCTTGAAATTAACCGATATTTATCAATGCTTTAGTGTTACAGTTGTGAATGAAATTTATAGTCTGTAGTGTCAATGATTTAAAAAAAAATATGTTTTCCACCCAATTATCAATTGGAACCACTTCTACTTTTTTTTGTTACGTAATATGTTCGATTGTAAACAAACATCTACGATGGTTTCAGCGAGGCTTTTGTAAATATTCTTAGTCATCGAAAATCAATGAGGCGTCTTGGCAAGATAATTCGAGGCGCGTATAAAGGCGCGCATAAATCATCCCACACGCTGTTCGACAATAGCGGACTCTATGAGAACGCCCCTGCATGTTGTGTAATTAATTAAAATTATTAATGACAGAGCGTAATTAGTAATGCGAAATCGATTAATGTGCACGGAGTCGACACAGAGCGGTGCGGAGCGACGTTCGGCCGATAGTGCAATTCTTAAAATTGAAAAATGCGGGCTTGTGAGTGTAACCAATGAATTTTTAATAAAGAAGACGCGTCGCGCAGAACGAACATGTACTGCGCGAAGTTTAAAATTTTTCCGCATTACATTACATATACAAGTGAATGTGACAGGTATGATACGGAAAGAGATAGCAGTCAAAAGGATTTGCAATATGATTACACCAACTGGCGTAATTTGAGTGCCTCAATTTCGGTGTATTGTCGTATCTTTGTATACAACGTGTCGTTACAACCGCGACAATAAATGAAGACACGTCTAACGCTACTTGCTAATAATCATAAAAAAATATAAACGTTAAAAAAAATCCATACTTATAAAAAAATATCTTTCAAACAAACTAATTAAGTAAAAAAGAAACAAAATTTGTAACATCCTATACAACTCGCGCCACAGCGTCGCATTACAAGCCTCTCTTTCTAACAGTATGTTATGTCTCTTTTAAATTCATTCAACCCATTCATATTCTTTGTGACCTTTACAAATGAACTTTACGTTACAGTTTAATACGTAAGGGTGATCTAAAATTCTTTGTTTTGGAAAATTTAATAACTCTGTAAATATTGATGTTTAAAGAATTTAAATGTTTAATACAACTTTAAAAAGTTATCTCCTAAATGTGTGTTCATTTATTGTCGCGATAGTAACGACACGCTGTATAATATCATTGAATATAACAACTTAAAAAGGACGAAACGGACAAATGCAATGTCCTCTTTGACTTTAACAAACAACAAATGACACATGGCTTGGAGGTGAACAGCCCAACATTGACCAGGCTTTCAAATGGACGGAACATGTCTAAGTATAAATCTTCGGCAACGGCACGTGAGTCAACTTCAGCGCGTTCGGGCTCATTTTTGCGTTGAATTTTATTCGGTTCGAACTCACCCTGCAACACGCAATGGGGTTGGAGCGTGAAGATGGAGAGATATAAGGAACGGACAGACAATGGGTGGAGGTAAATTTTACAAGGGGTAATTAATTCGAGTATTGGCTGATGCTGACGTGAATTTTGTGGAATTCGCTACGTATTATACACGCAGAACGAGAGTAACTTTTCCAATAAATAACAAGATTATAAAAGAAAATCATGCTTCTGAACTATTTTTTATATGTATTTGTAAATGTGATTCGTGATGATTGTTCACCTCAGTTATTTTGAGCCAGAGTTTGAATATCTATTAAAAAAAAATAAAGTAACAGACTATACGCGTCCCACTGCTGGCAAAGGCTTCCTCTGAGAGGGTGTTAGGGCATAGTCCACGACCCCCCTGTGAATTGGCGTACTTCACACACCTTCAAAATAATTTTTTCTCAAAAACATGCAGTGTTTCCTCACGACGTTTTCCTTCACCGCTGAGCACTTGATAGGTCAGCACTTAAAATCGACAATTTCATTTATGCCGGCATCGGGGATAGAACTAAGTTTGCCCGAGTTATCGAATTAAAAGCTAGCGCCCGGACACCGAACGATCAGGGCTCCAGCGAGATATAACTCGCGCATATGCAACATCAGCATCGCTATGGCCAGATAAAAAATAATCATCTTCCATTAAGAAGCGGGGATTACGCAATTAAACTGGCAACTCGGCCCTCGGAAAAAAACCGAGCTATACGAAACGGAACGTTAAAATGCGCGAGCAGCGAACGGGTTATTAATCTTTCGTATTGCTAAATAGTATTTCTTTTTGTCTTTAACGGCGGGAATATGCAGATGGGGGACGCTTCGCGCTTTCTTTTATTGACAGTTTATGGTTCGGAAACTGGAAACGGCTTACTAAATAAGATTCGATAATTCCGCCCCGGGATTCCCCGTTTAAGTGCGCGCCGGTAATTGAGTTGCCGTGTTAAATGACATGTACAGTGATTACACTTGGCGGCCATTGTTGCCTGGCGTCTGCCAATGCCACAACAATTGTTTGTCCATACAACAAGGTTTCTGTTTGGTTCTACTAGAAAAATAACCATACTCATAAGGAATAAAGCAAGAGTCTTTTATTAAACTCAGTCCACTGTTGACTATTTATTAAATTTAGAAATGTGATGCCTTTAAATTTGTTTGGTCATCATTGTCTATCATAGAAGACGATTACACTCTTCGTGTAGTAATTGAGTTTTATCAGTAACAATCGCCATAAAGTCAACTATCGACAATTTATTACATTTAAATGTAGCCTTTAAATTTGTTTAGTCTTCAATGTCTATTGTCAAAAAACAATTTTAGTTTACGTGCAATAATCGACTGCATGAAAACTATGTTTTCACATGACATTTGCTTGCATCATCTGCAACTGTTGACAGTTTATTGCATTTAGAAATGTAGGTAATACATTTACATTTGTTTAGTCATCATTGTCTACGATCAAAGACAATTATAGTTTTGCTGTAATAATAGATTTTTTATCAGTGAAAACCATTTTTACATTAAGTCGACTGTTGAAAGTTTATTAAATTTAAAGACGTTTGTGTAATGCCTTTAAATTTGTTTGCTCATCATTGTCTATGGTCAAAGACAATTATATAGCCTTCGTGCAATGATCGACATTTTTTATCTGCGCCCAAGTGACGGCCGATTAGGCGCGGCTTTTAATACTCACGCGATACAAACGTAAAGTTTTGACGTTCCAAGATTACTTGTATTAATGGCGGCATTAGAAACAATTGGGAGCTATCGACAAATTCCAACCATTAATATTTAGGTCGTCCGATGCCACGAGGCGTTGCTTCTTATATACACGACTGACAGGTTTAATCGAAACGTTTTGTAAGAGAACATTCTGGACGGGCTTTTACAGTTTATTGTATTATGATTTGTTTGTTATCTTGGACAAATGTATTGAAGAAGCTGGTAACTTAAACTTTAGCTATTGGTTAGTTGTTTTGTCAGTGGTTTGATGGACCGAAGATTTCTTTCGTATCAGGCTAGTAAGTGACGCAGTTTAGTTTGTCTATGGAGAGATATTCCCACGGGCGAAGCGTGAGACCCCTGCGTTTTTGGTTTGCTCTCCAAGAACTTGTGATGTTTATTTAAGACTAAACTTACTGACTTTCTTAGGATCTACTGCGAATGTTGAATGGCACTCCTTACCTGGAAACAAATTATAACAAAAATTAATCATTATAAATATGTTAGCAACAAAATCAGAAATTTTTAGGGCAACATAACAGTCTTATGGTATTTCGTCTTGCCACGTCGTAACTGCGACCAACTGTTGTCATTAGGCTACTATTAGGAAAACTAAAAGATCGTTTCGATGTTGCCATTAAAAATGAAGCAGCCATCTTGAAGCCGCAACGATATAAGGCAAACTACCCGGAAGGAGGCGGGACCAGTTGGAGAGATCTGCAGCCGATTTATCGAACAAACGCAGACTACAAACCTGGCAGTATCATAGAAGGGACCAATGGAAATTCTTGGAAAATATTTAAGTGCAGATAATTCCGTGCCACTATAATTTTATCACAACTTATGTTTGACCATACATATGTCGAAAGGTTTTCACAATTAATTTATTTTAGATCATTTACGATTTTATTACAGTTCTCAGTGACAATCCTGTGGATTAGTTAATATGTAGAAGGAATTACGTGTACTTATTTGTCTGTGTATAGTAAAAATAATATCGTTCATTCAACGAATGGTTCATCAGAATATAAAAGCATAGTGTGATAGATACTGCGTTAAGTTTTTTGCATGCGATAAGGTCTTAGTTTGTGAGACACTCTTAGAACTTTTTGATTGAAATAAATGACGGAAACAATTGTTTTCGTTTATCGAATATTTGTATCACATGGTGTCAAAGGCGCTTATA